CCTGGGAGCACCGGGTGCCCCTGGGTCTCCACTACTCATCACTACTCATCTGTCGTCACACCTCTCATGACTGACATGAGGGCTCCATGAGTGACTGAGTGGGAGGCTGTAAGCCCCTTTCACATCCGGTAAGTGCCTGGTCCCTGTCAACTCTGAGGCTGATAAAACAGGAGGAGGAAGAAGCAGCATTTCTTTTGACCAGAGGGGTCAAGTCGTTCGTTATACCCCTTCCCTGCCCACAGGTAATCTTGGAAAAAATGAAGTTAACTCAAGTTGCCTATTAACATTAGCAAACTAAAGAGAGAGGTCATAGGTTGGGCAGAGAGAGAGAATGAGACCTGTGAAACTGCTGGAAGGCGCAAGGGCAGGGAGCCAAGGCCCAGTCTTGCTGACCTTTTCCTTTTCTCTCTTTGGGGGCCACCATGGTAGCTCTGTCTCCCACTGCACTCGCACCTTCTACAGAGTGAACGGAAGTCCTTCTTTCTGCTGTGAGCCCCATGGTTCCCACCCCTTCGGGTGTTCTCTTTGTCTGCAAACACTGCACACCTGGCCCTATCGTCTTTCCAGAATCAGCTCACTCCTTCAGAAAGCTTCTGTGCCAGAAGTCACACCTCCTTTGTCCGGCCGCCTAACTCTGCTCTGACTCTTCCTTTCTCTGCCTTAGGGTACACCTGTGTACCCTGCCTGCTCCCCTGCACTGCCAGCACAGCACGTGGAGGAGAGGACGTTTGCCTTTTCCCTCTTTGTGTTTCTTCTACCTGCACACCTCGCACATAGGGGGCAGGCACTAATTAGCAGTTTTATGTGTGGGTTAAAGTATCAACGAGCATTTTCTCATCAATGGTCTCCATTCAGGACAAGTGTCTGCTCCCAGTCCCCTCCCCGCCACCCCTACCTCGTGTTCTGACTTCTCTCACCAAACAGCCTGCCTCAGGCCTCCCCAGCTCCTCATTGGCCTGCAGCCCAGGGGAGGCATCTCCCTGTGCCAGGCGCGGCACCCACGTCGTCATCATCCACCGGAAAAACCGAGGCCTCCTTTATCCTAAACAGTCTTACTCATGAGAGAGAAACGTGCAGGATCCTCGGTCGAGTGTCAGAGGTGTCTTCCTCCTGCTTGGGAGAGGTGATGGCATGGCGGGGAGGACGCTGCGGCCTCGGGACTCACCCTGACACCCTGACACGGAGTCAGTTTTGGTGACTCAGGTGTCCGCCTCTCTGGGACTCAGCACCGAGTACAGTGGCCCTGGCTCTTTGACGAGTATGAAGCTTGGCAGGTGGACTGACTCAGAGCCCCTCACCCAGGGAGTAGGATTCCCTGGGCCACTCCACACTCCAACTGCCACTCTCCTAACTGTCGCTCAGAACTTTGTTTCTTGGTCCCAGCACCTGCCTGTCCTTTGGATGACTGCTGGCTTAGGAGCTGGGAAAGCTTTTGCAGGACTAGGTGAAGCTTCATTTTGTTCTTTGCACAGCAGCCAACGATAGTTTCATGGGGAAAACTCAGCTGTCTTTGACTTTGGTTTGTTTGGTTGTGGTTTTCAGTTGCTTTGACAATTTTGCTGCCTCTCGCCCTTCTCATCTGCAGGATGGCTGGGGAAGAAACCTACTTGGTTATCTGAGCATCTTGTAATGCTTCTCAGCTGAGTGTGAAGATTGCCTCTTCAGAGGAGCTCCAGACTGCATCAAAAAAGAGAACCATTTCTTATTTTCTTCAAAATGTAAATACTTCTTTGTATATAAGTGATAAATGCTTGTTATAAGAATTTATACAATTCAGAGGTATTCACCAGCTCTGCTGTGTTAGAGATAACCATATTAATAGTTCGTAGTATATCTTTTCAGTTTCTGGAAACACATGCAGAAAACATTAACATGATCCTACTAAATATTATTCTCTAAACTGACTTTAAGAATTCAAAAGTGTATCGAAGTGAACTTACCACATCAGTCTATATATACCCGTCTCTTTTCCTTGCCAAAATTAATTTAGCCATTTCCTGATGTTGGATCTTTAACCTGTTTTAAAGTTTTTGCAGGTATAAACAATGACTGATATAATGAACTTCCTTATACATGTATGGTTGCCTATCTGTGGGGGTATTTTTATAGGATAAATTTCTAAAAATGTTACTAGTGGATCTAAAATTAATTTTTATTTTTGGTAGATGCTTCTAAATTACTCACCAAAAAAGCTGATGCACCTGTCAATCCCCGTAGGTTCTCTCAGGGCGGACTTAGCCGCTGGGTGAGGAGGTGCACCCCTGGGGCCCGTGACAGTGTCAGGGGTCATGAAGATATTTTAACTTCCTTTAAAGTCGGGAGAAAAAATATAATAATAATGAATTTATAATTTACTATGAATCCAGACCAGATCATATGTTTTATATACCAATGCAACCATAAAGTATGCTTTCTCATGTTTTTTATGGAAAGGGGACCCAGGAAGGCAGATGTGTACAGGACCCCTGCAAGGCATAATGTGGCCCTGGGTGATTCATTTCTCCACAGCCCTGCGACTCTGAGATTATATATATGTTTGTGTGTGTGTGTATGTGTATATATATATATATTCATATATATATATATTTTAGTTTTTGCTAGTCTTTTGTGTAAACAAGAAAAAGGACATTGCACAGTTGTTTGTACTTGAACATCTTTGGTTATTTGTGACGTAGATATTGTCTCCTAAGTTTATCGATCATTGAAATTTCCTCTATTAATTGCTTGCCTAATTATGTTATTTTTCTCATCTTTCCATTCAGTTGCTCACCTTTTCTTTGTCACAGACATTTTTTTACAGTATGATAAATATTGCAGATTTTATTTTCACAGTTTTCCATTTCCGATGGACTGGTTTCTGTTTGTCACGACACGTAAGGTGTTCCCGTTCCCCAGGTCCGCCGAGCATTTCTCCGTGGTGTCTCTCTCACAAAGGCTCACACAACTATTTGTTGACACTTCCTTGTAGACTATCTATGGCTATTATTATTTACAATATCTTTAATTGCTCTGGAGTGCATTTTTGTAAGAGATGTGAAATAGCTCTTAAACTTTGTTTTCCAAGCATAGCTAACTGTTCTGACATCATGGGACAGTAATTTAAAATACCATTTTTATCAAATATTAAATTATTTAATATATACATGAGTATACTTCATGGATCTTTGCCATCCTTTGGTGCATTTATCCACTGCCGGGCTAGCACCCCACTTTCAGCTATAGCTTTATGACATTTTGATTTCTGATAAGGTGAATCATTTCTCCCCACCCCCTCCACCCCACAATCCTTCTATTTCCATTTTTTTTCTTCATGATTCTCACACATTTACTCTTTCTGGTGAGTTTCAGAGTTACATTTTCAAGTACTAAAAAAGAAATCCCAATGAGTTTTGTAAAAATTTACAGATTAATTTGAGAAGAAGGGACATCTTCACAACATATCTGCCTCTGCAAGAGCATGGCATGTTGTTCAGACCTATTCACAAACATTCCCTATTTTGTCCGAGCCCTTGAAGTCTCAGCAGTCTCCTCTGATGCCTCCTCGCTCCCTTGGTGGGACGGGAGGCCAGCGTCCAGGGCTTGTCTGAGTGTCCTTGTCCCCGTGAGGTTTCTGGGGGCCTTCTCTTTTTCCATTTTTGGTCCATTTAGTACTAGTTTCCTAAGAACTGTGGTCTGCTGCAAATCATGGTGGCAAAGCCCATCGCAGTCTTGTATCCGGATTTCTGGTCTCTTTGCTTCTGCTTTTGCCTCCTCCTGCTCATTCCCCACACTGTGCCTGATGTGCTCTTTGTAGCTGTAGAGGGCTATGGTCCTCTGCTGGAAAACCTTCAGTGATTCCTTGTTCTATTTGCTACTGTTTGCTGCCCTAACAAATTACTACAAACAGAATGCCTTAAAAGAACACTAATTTATTACCTGGAAGTCAGAAATCCTAAATCAGATTCACTGCGCTAGAACCAAAGTATGGGTCGGGCTGCATTCCTTTCTGGAGGCTCCGGGGAGGATGTGTTTCCCACCTTCTCCGGCTTCCAGAGGCCCTCCTGCATTTCTTGGCTCATGGCTCCTCCCTGCATCTTCAAAGCCAGCAAGTCTGTCACTCTGACCTCTGCTGTTGTCTCCCTCTCTGACTCTGAGCCCCCTGCGTCCCCCTTATAAGTATGATCATAAGGACGCCTGTGATTCACGTGGGCTCGCCCAGACCATCCAGGACCCTACCTCACCTCAGAGCCCTTCGTCACATCTGCAACTTTCCTTCTGCCACGTGAGGCACTATATTCATAGCCCCGGAGGTTAGGATGTGGACATCTCTAGGCGACCATTATTCTGCCTGCCATAGCCATGGCCTTCAGGATGAACTTGGCTTGCCAGCCTGTCAGTGACCCGCTCCTCTGCTTAAGCCCATTCTGCTCTCCCCTTTGAACTCGCTGGAACCGTCACTCTCTCCTTCCCCCAGTTCTAGTCCAGGCTGGTTCCTCTGCCTAGGAAACCCTTTCCCCACCTCTTCACCTGGCCGGCTCCTACTCACCTTGCAGCCTTCGCTAAACCCTCACTTCTTTTGGAAGTTTAAACCACCTCTTCCACTCCTTGAGTGTTCTTCCAGACTTTGTTAGAGGCTTTCGGACCATCCTCCATTGTTCCCGGCCTTGCTTGTATGATAGTTTGCTTGGTCACACTCTCTTCCAATGTACATGCTCTCTGAGGGCGGCGCCAAGGAGGGCAGTCCCACACAGGGCGCATAGGGGGAACTTACAACTCCTTGTTGAATGAACTTACAAACCTACGGGTTTCATAATGGAAGGTGAGTAGTTTTGATCTAAACGCACCATCTTAAAAGTATCTGTTCATCACTCATTCAACACGTGTTTATTAAGCACTGACTTGGTAAGTATTGAGCCAAAGGAGTTAAAATAAGGAGAAATCACCTGAACGTTATGAGGATGCTATGGTTGTAGTGGGTAAGATCATAAGGACCCGAATAACAACTTTCCCCCTCCAGGAAAATGGACTTGGAGGCCAGTGAACCAATAGACCTTGGTGCTGGAGATCATCAACATCTGATCCGGAAAGCAGCGGATGGGAGCGTCCAGACCAAATCTGCTCAGCCCTACAAAACTTCACCTTCCCCCGGGCCGAAACAAACCCATGGGAAGCCACATCCCAAGACTGGTCAGCGAGTAGATGCCTATGTGGTGCAGATTTCAGACGACATCACCCCTGAAGACAGCAGTGCTGTTCCCGGCCCATTCTCAGAAACGTCCATCCGCAGAGGTGAGCATCAAGAAATTAACTTTTTAGGAGAGACAAGCCAATGTTTTCTTAAAATGTTTCCCCAGAGTGGATTGTCAGGAAGATTGAATTTTGCTTTCAGGGGTTCCCAGCCGTGCTTCACCGTGGACCGTGATGAGGGCCGCTACGACAGGCCAGGTCATGCAGGGCATTCAGAGATTTCCGAGGGACAGAGTGAACAACTTGTGGTTTTCTTAGGAAATACGGATTAGCCCGTTGACGTTAGCACATTCTTACCTACATACAATGTAATACCATAACACTGGCTTCAGTTTTAAAGAATAGTAATTCAATGCCTTAGATATTAACTCTGTTCAGGAAATGTGACATCCAACTGTGAGTGAAGAAACCTAAAAGCCTGTGGCTTAAATAAATGAGAAAGTATTTCTCTTTCATGAAATATGAAGTTCAAAGATCCACAAATTCAAGGCAAATGCCACAGGTCACTGCGCCTGCTCTGCCGCCAGTAAGGCCTTGTCGGGGCCTGGACGACTTGAAGGCAGACCATGAGCCTTGGGTCCCAGCACTGTGTCCTGGTGGTTCCCGCCCCCTTGTGGCTGGAAAGATGCCTTTTGGAGCTCCAGCCTTCCAGGTGGGAAAAGGCAACAGCCAAAAGAGGCCAAGGCTGATCTTCCACCCTGACACCTCCAGGGGTTGTCATTTATGGACAGACATCCTGCACGTCCTCCAAATCTGACCTCTGTTCAGAAACCACACCCAAGAGCTTCTAATCACGGGTCACTGACCCTAGCCAGACCATGTGGCCACCTGCATCTGTAGTTTCCAGTCGGGTCCATTGCCACCTTTAATGAGATCTGGGTTAGACAGTGAGGGCACTGGGGAGAATGGATGTCATGAAGCAAGCAGCCACCTCTGCCACAGATGCTAATCTTTCAGTGGCAAGGAGAGCATTACTGCACTTAGTCCTTATACCCCTGCAAACACAGTCCTCGTATGCCACTTCAAAGGTGGGAAACTGAGGCTTAAGGGGTTACAACTAAAAACATACGTAAAGCCTCCTCACCACTAGTTGAGTTCCTTATTTGTATCTGCCTCTGCTGGAGGGCAGAGGCTGCCCGCCCCTCCCCCCTAAAATTATGTAGTCCATAAAAAGATGAAAGTACTATGGAAACAAGGAAGCATATAACAGGGTAAGGGATAAAGAGTTGCAGGGCTAAGGAGCTACAGTTTTTAAAAACAGATTTATGGAGATATATTTTACACATCATAAATTTCGCCCCCTTTTTAAGGGTACAACCCAATGATTTTTAGTTCACTTACAGAGTTTTGCAACCACTGTCACACAAAGAACCCCATGTCCATTAGCAGTCACTCCCCATCCCTTTCTCCCCACAGTCTCTGCTAACCACTTATCTACTGTCTCCCTCTACGGATTTGCCTATTCTAGATATCTTACAGCAATGGAACCATACAACATGTGGTTGTTTGTGATTTCCTTCTTGCACTTAGCATGATGTTTTCAGGGTTCACCCATGTCATGGCATGCATCAGTACTTCATCCCTTCTTTATGGCTGTATAGTATTCCATTGCCCGGCGAGAACTCATTTTGTTTACCCATTTCTCAGTTGATGGACATTTGGATTGTTTCTGCTTTTTGGTTATTAGGAATAATGCTGTGATCAATATTCATACATAAGTGTTTGTGTAGACATATGTCTTCATTTCTCTTGGGTAGGTACCTATGAATTGCTGACCTATATGGTTACTTCATGTTTAATATTTTGAAGAATTGCCAAACTTTTCCAAAGTGGCTGCACTTTTTTTACATTCCAACCAGCGATGTATGAGTGTGTCTGTTTCTCTGCATCCTCACCAACAATTGCTATTGTTTGTCCTTTTATTATAGTCATTCTAGTGTGTGTGAAGGGATATCTCATTGTAGTTTTGATATGCATTTCCCTAGTGACTAACTGATATTAAGCATCTTTTCACATGCTTATTGGCTATTAAAGAAATGTCTACTCAAATCCTTTGCCCACTTTAAAAAACCCAACAGATTTTGATAGTTCTCATGATTCTGTGGGTTGACTGGACTCGGTTGGGATGTACTGGCTGTGATTGGAGGCTCCTGGGAAGTTTTAATCAGTTGGTGGTAGAAGGTGTGATGGCCACTAAGACTCCTTGACATGGCTACCAGTGGTGCTGGTTTTTGTGGCTCTCTTCTTGTGACATGAGCTTTTTATCACATGGCAGCTGGGCCCCAGTAAGAAGCCTACCAGATGGACAAGCACCAGTGTGCAAGCCATTTATCAAGGCTGTCTGTATTGCAGGTGCTAACTTTTTATATGGCCAAGTCCAGCATCAATGTGGCAGGACACTAACCACACAAGTGATGCCCATTTTTAATTATTTGTCTTCTTGTTACTGAACTGTAATTCTTTATGGATTCTAGGTATGCTCCTTACCAGATATATGATTCACAAATTTCCCCCCCAGTTTCTGGGTTTTCTTTTACTTTCTTGATTGTATCATTTGAAGCACAAAGCTTTTACTATTGATGAAATTCAATTTACTTGTTTTTCTTTGTTGGTATTTTAGGCACCTTGTCTCTTTTTTTTAAGATTTTATTTATTTATTTTTAGAGAGGGAAGGGAGGGAGAAAGAGAGAGAGAGAGAGAGACATCAATATGCAGTTGCTGGGGGCCGTGGCCTGCAACCCAGGCATGTGCCCTGACTGGGAATCAAACCTGCCATGCTTTGGTTCACAGCCCGCACTCAATTACCTGAGCTACACCAGCTAGGACGGCACCTTGTCTTTAAAAGTTGTTGCCTGATCCATGCTCACAAAGATTTACACCTATGTTTCTTTCCATGAGTTTTATTTCTTATTTTTATATCTATAATCCATTTTTAATAGATTAGTTTTTGTGTATGGATGGCATGAGGAAGGGGTACAAATTCATTTTTTGTATGTGTATGTCCAGGTGCCCCAGAAGCATTTGTTGAAAAGACCATTCTTTCTCCATTAAATTGTTCTGGTGCATTAGTTAAAAAGCAATTGACAAGATATTACTTTCAATTCTATTCCATTGATCTGCGTGTCTAGTCTTATGAGGTTGGGTCACATTTAGTACTTGTTCCCTCAATCCCTGATACATAGTAAATGTGGAATTAATGCTAACTGAGTATTTTAATGTAGGCAGCACACATTTGGCATATATATATATTCTGATATTTTCATTAAGATTGCTTGGGCCCATTTCTCTGTTGTCATACTTCTTATACACAGAAACGCCCCACAAAAGGACACAGTTGTGATCCTATACGTCAACCTCAAGCAGCAGTTCTACTTTTCCTTTAAGGTCGGCATAAAGTGCCCTGGAGGTGTGGCTCAGTGGATTGAGTGCCAGCCTGTGAACTGAAAAGTCACCAGTTCAATTCCCAGTCTGGGTACATGTCTGGTTGCAGGACAGGCCCCTGGTTGGGGGTGTGCAAGAAACAACCCATCAGTGTTTCTCTTGCACATTGATGTTTCTCTCCCTTGCTTTCTTCTTCCTTTCTCCTCTCTCTAAAAATTGTCATAGGGCCATAAAAAAGGTCCTACTTATAATTTGTCAGGTTATCTAATTTCTGCATGAGTACCGGGGAAGGGGGTGGCTAAAGGCAGGTGATGGGAGAGAAAAGTGGTGGGAAAGCTGAGCAAACTGCCTGCAGCCCCAGCCCCAGCCCGAGGGGCAAACGCCCACTCTACCAGCCTTCTCCACTCTGCTCAAGGGGGTAGCTGGATCCCGCTAATGGGTCAGCGACATTCTGCCATTTTCAGGTCACTTTCAGGCCTGAAGAGGACATGGTGTGCCTCATAAGGCATTAAATTCTTGAGTTTGTGTCTAAAATTTTGGGGCTTTCCAGATGTCCAATAAAACACCTCGGCCCATCCAGACTGTGTTCCGTGAGTTCTGAAGAGCTGTGTTTCTGTCGCTATTCAATTAACTAACTCAAAACTAGCACTCCCTCTCCCATCCTCAAAAAATCAGAGGAAACGTTTCTCTTGTTAAGTATCAAAAATAGGTAAGTTAGCCCTGGCTGGCGTGGCTCAGGTGGTTGGAGCGTCATCCTACAAACCGAAACAGCGTGAGTTTGATTCCCGGTCAGGGCTCTTGCGGGGGTTGTGGGTTCTGTCCCCAGTCCTGGCATGGACCGAAGTTTTGATGTCTCTCTCACCTCAGTGTTTCTCTCTGGAATAAATAATGAAATAGGTCATTTTTATTTGCACTTTTGAAACTTGTGTTGTTAAGAATAACATTTCTGTCTCCTCAGCTTTCATTGTGAAAGTGTTCCTCCTCCTGTCAGCTCAGCTGATAGTCACCGGGGCGATCATCAGCGTGTTCATTTTCTGGTAAGTCTTCACCACTGATGTCAGTTACATGTTAAGTTGTTCATGTTGTCAATGTCAACCATGTATCATTTTCCCCTTCTTATGAGATTGTTTTGCTTCTTAAATATTACATTAGCTAGCAAAATTAACTACTTATTGAGTAAAACTATTCATTTCTTTAAAAACCAGGAAAGGTTTAAAAGAGTGGGTGCTCAAGAATCCCTGGTTCATCTATGCAATCTGGTAAGTATTATTTTATTATTTAATAAAAAGTGGGTTTTTTTTCACTAGATATTGATCAAGGTTCTTCATTAAAAATTAGGCAAAGATAACCTCGAGCGACCTCAGTGGCTCAGTTGGTTGGAGCATTGTCCCACGCATCTAAAGGGCTGAAGTTTCAGTCCCCAGTCAGGGCACGTGCCTAGGTTGCAGATTCCACCCCCCAGTAGAGACGTGTATAGGAGGCATCGCTGTTTCTCTCTCACATCGATGCTTTTTTTCCTCTCTCTCTCTTCCCCTCTCTTTAAAATCAATAAACATACCCTCAGGAGATGATTTTTAAAAAATTAGGTAAGGATATAACATTCTTCAAATGACCAAATTATACAGATGAAAAATAAGCAAATTAGCGGTTGCCAGGAGTTAGGGTGTGTGTGTGTGTGTGTGTGTGTGTGTGTGTGTGTGTGTGTGAGAGAGAGAGAGAGAGAGAGAGAGAGAGAGAGAGAGGTGGAGAGAGAGAGGCCGTAAAGGGATGGCCCCGGGAGACCTTGTTGATGGTGGGATAGTTTCACATCTTCACTGCGGTGCTGGTCACATGTACCTGCACGTAGACTTCTACCACAGCTCTATGTTACAGCATTATATGCATATGCAGGCTGTACCAATGTCATATTACCGGTTTGGGTGTCGCACTAGAAATAATGCAAGATGTAAACATAGAGGGAAATGAAGTAAAGGGTACATGGGAGCTCTCTGTCCTTTTGCAACTTTCTGTGAGTCCAGAATTATCTCAAAATAAAAAACTTCAAAAAGAGCCCCGAAGCTGTCTGTGGATGGCAATGAGAAAAGGTAGTTTTAAAAGCTTAAAAAAGGAGAGGTAAAATAAATAATCTGAACTTGTGTTTACTTTATGATAGTTACTATCAGATGACATCATATAATGATATCTCTCTGTCCACCTACAATATCTCATATGATATAATCATTGGAAGCAAATAACACGTGGTTTTCGATCATCCTCAGGCCAGTATTTTTCGTTGTGCTTTTTGTACTTGCTTGCTGTGGGAAACTCCGCCGTCAGGTGCCTGCAAATTACATTCTCCTGGGAATATTTGTAAGTAAGCCTTGTTAGCACCTGTTGTAGTTCACCTCTGAAATATATCTGTGTTACATTATTAAATTCATTCCTTTTACTGTGGAAAACCTTCCTGTAGAATAATACAGGTGGAAATCATTTGTGAGACATTCTCTTGGCTGAATTCTGGTTTCAACAAATGCATAAAATTAATTATGAGATAGTTTCCACACCCTTTTAGTAAACTAGGGAATTGGGGCACCCTGGGCTACTGCCCCCAGAGGCCACACAGGGAACCACTCCCACATCTGAGCTGCATTTCGGGAATAGTGAGTGACCCGAGGGTCCTTGCACCTTGGCAGGCACAACAAACATTTTGTTATGGAGCGTGGGTTCCACATTTAGGTCACAAACTCATGTGCAAAAAAAAATGTAATTTTCTTTATTTTTGTAAAATTTATTTTATTTCTATTTTAAGCCTCACTTGGAGCAGAAACCTCCTCAGCTCAGGTTCTCCCAACTTTCCTGCTTTGCATTGCAGCTCAGGAGGGCTTTCCCAGTTCCAAAGAGTTGGGGTCAGGGGCTTCTGGCCCTTGGCTCTCTCCTTTATCTGTGGTCCGGGTCCTGATTTCACCAGCGCCTCCCTGCAGGGCTCCCACTCCCCAGGCCCTTTCTCTGTGGCTCAGTGCTGCTCTGGGCCACAGAAACCTGTGTGGCTCCTTTTCTTGCTGCCGGTTCCTTTTTTGTGATGCCCACAGGCTCTCCAGGTTCTCACCAGCTCTCAGCAGGTACCTGGGTCTCCTAGATTTTTAAAACCTAAATAGAATCTGGATTTCTATCATTTTACCACACCCCACCCCAGCCGAGATTACAGGGCTCCTTCCTTCTCAGGACTCAGTGGCATTGAAGCATCATCCCTCCTTTCCTGACTGTCTTTCTGCTTCCCAGTCAGACCAAACCTCTTGCCCCTCCCCCACCCCCTGGAGGTGGTGGTCTCCATGAAAATCACTGATAGTAAGCATTTGCTCTCTTGAAAAATCCAGAACAGTCTCAGTGTGACTCTGTTGGCAAGAAATTCTTTCTGGGAGAGTTAGTGTTTCCCCTCAACCACTGTGGACCACCATCTAATGTCAAGATTCATTTATCAAATGAGGAGACTGCTGGTCAAGATGGCAGCATAGGCAAATACAGCTCACCTCCTCACACAACCACATCAAAATTACAACTAAACTACAGAACAACCATCACTCAGAGCCATCAGAAATTGAGTTGAATAGAAGTCTGGCAACTATAGAACTACAGAAACAACATCAGACTGGTAGGAAACACAGAGACATGGAACAGGCTAGTCCCACACCCACGTGTGGTGGATAAAAATTTGGGAGGGATATCTCTGGAGTGAGGGTCCCAGCCCCACCCTAAACCCCCAGCCCAGGGTTCCAGTGCCAGGCAGATAAGCTCCTGCAACTTCTGGCTGTAAAAACCAGCAGAATTTGAATTGGTGAAAGGAACTACTGGAGTCCCAAGCAGTGTCTCTCAAAGGGCTCATACATGTATTTGCTTAGACTCACTCCCTCTGAGCTCCAGCACTGAGGTAGCAGCTTGAAAGGCACCAGTGACATATGGGGATGTCTCTGGCATCAGGGCAAGAGCTGGGGAACAACTCTCTCCCAGACACAAAGGTACCCAGAGGCCATTGTTCCTTTTCTGAGCCTTCTCCCCACAGAGCCACAGGCAGGGGCCATATCTGAGACTCTGTCAACCTGGTTCACATGGTTTGCTCCACCCTAGAGAATCCCTGAGGCTCCATTCCACCCAAAATACAGCCCACCCTAGCTGTTAACAGTGCTTTTCCATATGTGGCTGGTCTTGGCTCATGCTTCACATCTTCCTAAATCCTCTGAAATGAGCAACAACCAGCCTAGCAAGCCACCATACTTTCTACCTCTGGCTTAGCAGCCCCAGGCCTAGCCCTAGCAGCAGCCAGATTTTGATCACAGTTTGGCTTTGCCTGGGGACCTCCAAGCCCAGCACATGTAACAGTCATCTGCAGATTGTTTTGTAACTCATGCTGGGTGGCTCTGGGTGGAATATAGGTAGTGGCTAACCCTGGCCTGCACCACCTGGGAAACCCCAGAGCCTGTACACCCAGTGGATAGCTACAGACCACATTGGAGCACCACCTCCCTGCCCCTGCACAGCTGATCCTCCACAGAGGGTGGAGGTTAGTGGTCAGTGGTCACAGCCAGTCTTTGCAGTTGACTGTCCTGGATAAATCCCCCTTCATTGACCTGCCAACAAAAATCAAGGCTCAACTACAAGAGGAGGGTATACTCAGCCCACACAGAGGACACACCTCGAGTACCCAGCTTGGGTGATAGAGGAGGCTGTGTCACTAGACCATTACAAGACACTTACTACATTAGGCCATGCTACCAAGACAGGGAGTCATAGCAGCTCTACCTAATACAAAGAAACAAACATAGGGAGACCGCCAAAGTTAAGAGACAAAGAAACAAGGCCCAAACAAAAGAATAGATCGAAACTCCATAAAAATACTAAACAAAAGGGAGACGAGCAATTTATCAGATGCACAATTCAAAACACTGGTTATAAGGATGCTCAAGAGAATTAGTGAGGACCTCAACAGCATAAAAAGACCCAGGCAGAAATGAGGGATATACTAATGGAAATGAAGAACAGTTTCCATTAGTAACAGGGAATCAACAGTAGAATGGATAAATCTGAGAATCAAATCAATGATATGGAACATAAGGAAACAAAAACAACCAATCAGAACAACAAGAAGAAAAAAGAACTCTCCCCCAAAATGAGGATAGTATAAGCAGCCTATGGGACAACTTCAAGCATACTGACATTTGTATCATAGGGGTGCCAGAAGAAAAGAAAAGAGCAAGAAATTGGAAACCTATTTGAAAAAATAATGGAAGGAAACTTCCCTAATTCGGTGAAGGAAATAGACATGCAAGTCCAGGAAGCACAGAGAATCCCAAACAAGATGGATGCAAACAGGCGCACACTAAGTCACATCATAATTAAAGTGCCAAAGCTTGAAGATAAAGAGAGAATCTTAAATGCAGCAAGATAAAGCAGTTAGTTACCTACAGGGGAGTTCCCATAAGACTTTCAGCTGATTCTCAAAAGCAACTTTGCAGGCTAGAAGGGACTGGCAAGATGTATTCAAAGTGATGAAAAGCAAGGACCTACAACATAGATTACTCTATTCAGCAAAGTTATCATTTAGAGTCAAAGGGCTGATAAAGTTCTTCTCAGACAAGGTAAAGTTAAAGGAGTTCATTATCACCAAACCATTTTCATATGGAACATTAAAGAGACCTACTTTATGAAAAAAGATCAAAACTATGCACAATAAAATAGCAAAAAATACATATCTGTTAACAATTGAATCTAAAAACCAACTGAGCAAACAAGAAGAACAGAGACAGAATCATGGATACAGAGGGTGTTTTGATGGTTGCCAGATGGGAGGGCCTATGGAGGAATGGGTGAAGAGGTGAGGGGATTAAGAGCACAAATAAGTAGTTACAGAATAGCCCTGGGGATGTAAAGTACAGAATAGGAAACGGAGTAGCCAGAGAACTTATACGCTTGTCCCATAGACATGAACAAAGGGATGGAGATTGCCTAAGGGAGTGGGGGGTGGTGCTTAGTGGGAGAGTAAAGAGGGAAAGTTGGGACAATTGTAACAGCATAATCAATAAAATATAATTTAAAAGAAAAAAGATTTATTTATCGCATCTGGTTCTATACGAGTCAGATTTGAAGTAGCTTATAAAAATACCCACAAAATAAATGAAGATGAATTGCTGGGGATAATTGTAAACTAGCAAAATTTCCACAAAGTTAATGACAAATTTGCTTCCATTTACTGGAAACATTCATCATTCAATAGAGGATGGATTTGACAAATTAAAAAAGATAAATTGTTGGGGAAATATGATGGAAAATTTAAAAAGGGAAGAAAAATAAAGCTAGTAGATTAGTACACAAAGTGCACGGTCCTATGAGTGTTGAGCCGGGATTTGGATCTGCGCCTCCTGGTGGTCAAAGTGAGCAAGGACACCTGGCCAACGGTGATAACACCCATACGGTGCAGAGAGTTTTCTGTGTTGGGGAAGAACAGCTTCTTCCTGAGGCTGGAGAAGGCTGGCTCTCTGATGCCCACATTTGGGCATTTTCTCAGTTGCCAGAACATTGAGGGGACTTTCTTAGCTGGTGTGAAGAGCTGCTTATTGACCAAGTGAGCGAGTGGGGTCTCCCAGTTCCTGCATGAACCACACTCAGTAAGGGGTGGGGGTTGAAAGCCAAACAGAAAGATACTGAGAATTCTGGAGCAGAAGCGATGGGGCTGGGAGTGAAAGGGGTATATTTTTATAGAAACTTTTTATTTAAAAATTTTCAATGGTTTTGGCCCTGGCCGGGTTGCGCAGCTGGTTGGAGCGTTGTCCTATGCACAGAAAGTTCCATCCCTGGCCAGGGCGTCTGGGGGACAACCCATCAATGTTTCTCTCTCACATCTGTGTTTTTTCTCTCTGTCTCACTCTTTCTCTCCCCCCTCCCTCTCTCTCTGAAATCAATAAACATATCCTTGAGTGAGGATTAAATATTTTTTCACTGGTTTTAATGTGCTTTTACTACTACTACTACTACTACTACTACTACTACAGGAAGAGAGCAAAGCTGTTGGTCTTAAACAAAGCTCTCATCTCTGAGCTTATGCTGTTTATCTCAAAGCCTGTAAAGCTTAATACAGAAATAAAGTGGTAAGAATTTGTTGTATTTCCCAGACTTTATGTCTTGGCCAAGTATTAGGAAGTATATGGAGAAAACCATTTCAGAAAAGGAGTTGAGTGACAAAAGGAAAACAGTAGCACCCTGGAGACTGCTTTTGCCCCGCAGAACCGTGGCCCCTTGAGCCCACGCTCCGAGCTTTCAAAGCCATCAGGCAGCTTTGACTTCCGAGGCCTCCTGCTAGTCACTGGGCTACTCTTGGGAAAACTGAAGGGTGGTTTCCAGCTCGAAATCATGTCCTCTCCTTCCTCCCATGCCCTTTTCTCTCCCCCCTTTCTCTCCCTCTCTCTCACACTTCTTCCATGTGCTCCTGAAGATGGGGAAATAGGAAACAATTGAGCAAGTAGAGGAAAAAAGTTCATCTTGAGAGGAAGGTCAGAAGCAAGCACATTATTAAAATATCATGTGTATGTGGAATAGATACACTTTTTAATACAATGTATAATGGAAATAGAGACAGCTTACTTGGTACGCTTAACAAAGCAGGCACTGACTCGCCGGGTCTGGGGAACGTGGAGGCAACCCAGGGCTCTCAGGGGCCGGCTTCTGTTCCCTTCTTTCGCCCTGTCCTGAGCTGCTTCGTGGGCCCGCGCCTCCGCCAGTCCCCGCACGGAGGGTCGGATCTGTTCTCATTTTCGTTCCCTGACACTGGAGGGTTCTTTTCCTGCTCTCGTGGGTCTGCAGTCTCTGGATTCACCAAGGACGAGCGTCCTGCCCCCTAGGAAGTGTCCCAGGCCCCGCAGTCGCTCCCCGCTCACTGTCCTCCTTATCCGACCTGCGCTCACCCTCCTTCCCCTTTCGGTCGCGTCCTCCCGGGCAACTGCCTGCTGGCTCTCAGCCCCTGCCCCTCTCCCCGGCGCGTCGGGCGGGCCGTGGGAACCCTGCGCCCGCTGCGGCCCCGGCCCCGACGCAGCTCCCTCCCGAGCCCCGGACGGTGGCACGTGCTCGTGAGTAAGTGCCTTCCACCGGCCCTCCCCCCACCTTGCTGGAAGGTCTCACTCCTCATCCCGCCCCCGAGGTTTTAAGAAGTGTTTTATTCTCACCCGAGCGCCGTGGGAAAGGTCGATGCTGACACTTGCTGAGGCGACAGTAGACCCAGCACGCTCTGCTATGTAACATTTCTGGTGAAACGTTGCAGCTCTGTGCGGACGGCCCCGTTTGATCAGCGAGAGCACGGCCTAACCTTTCAGATAACCACTTATGTTGGTTTCCACATTCCTAATCAATGCATATTTAATTCACTAAATACGTTAAAAGTTGTTATTGTGTCCTAAATTTTTTTACTAATAAAAGAATTTTCTCTTGTTAGTCTTAGGGAGAACTTTAAGGAAACGTTTGGTCCCACCGTTCCTTCGGTTTTGTAGTCCTCTGCCCCGACGCCTGTGCGCTAGCAGCGCGCGCGCGCGCTCACCAGCCCCCGCACACGCAGCGCCGCAGTCACCTCCTCCGCCGCCCCCTCCGGGTGCCGGCTTTGGGAGTCAGGCTCCTGATTGATTGTGAATTTTGTTTTTAGACGGTTCTTCAAGGTCTGCTGCTAGGAGCCGTATCAGCGTAAGTCTCCGACGCACATTTTCTTTCCTGTGTGTGCTTTTCCTGGATTGGATGTGAACAATAATCACGCTCTCTGGTTTTAGTTTCTATGACGCTGAGGAGGTGTTATGGGCCATAGCAGCAACCTCTCTGGTGACGTTATCGCTCACTTTATTTGCTCTTCAGACAAAAGTATGTATTACTGAGACAGACGTCTGCCCTCAGGGAGCGTGTGGACGTGTTCCTCTGCCCCTCCTGCCCCACTCTCCCCCCTCACTCCCCCTGCTGTCCCGCCCCGTGGGACTCGCCCCTACTGCTTCCTTGCCTTCTGGCTTCTGGCTTTCCTAGTGACGACGTTGAGAAAGCAAAAGAGAAACAGGTGGAATTAGTTTTAATATATTTCACTTAACCCAATGTACGCAAAGTATTATCATTTCAACAGGTAATCAATATAACAAAATATTAGTGAGCTAGTTTATATTTTTTAAATTAAAGTCAAGTCCAGTGTGTGTTTTGTCCTGATAGCACGTCTCGTTTGGACCAGCCACATTCCAGGTACTCGGTAAGCACACGTGTCGGAAGCTCACCTGTAGACGAGCATTTAGCAGCGTCAGCATCACCTGGGAAGCTGTGAGACCACAGGTCGCTGGGCTCCACCCCTGGACTTGCAGCCTCGGAAGGCCTGGGAGGAGGGCCAGCCATCTGCACTTCCCAGGTGGGGGTGACGCTAAAGCCCCGAGACCCATGCTGAGTAACACCGAACTTCAGGCTACACACTCTTGGTGTGTTAAGGAATTAGACAAAAACTCTCGCAAGAACATGTCTTGGATTCAAGGGTCTTCTTTTGCTGCACAATCCCAAATTTTTTATGCAAGCAGGTGAATATTCCCCCTTTAAAAATATTAATACCCCCTCCAGGTGGATTTGGTCACTGATTTGTGTGGGAAAAAACATAAAAACATATTGATAAACTCCAACATTAAAAAAGGATCATTAACAGTAATTTTTGAAAGCTTAGGATATATATCTTTTATTCAAAGATATGCATACAAATGTGAAAAAGGTACCCAGTTAAACACTTGGTCTCTTTAATTTCATTAATGTATTCTATACACACACTTTAAAAAATATGAATAATGTTGTCCCCACAAGCCAAGGTTGCAGGTTTGACCCCCAGTCAGGGCACGTACAGGAATCAACCAGTAAATGCACCAGTAAGAGGAAAAACAAATCAGTGTCTCTCTCTCTCTGTGTGTCTCTCTCTGTCTCTCTCTCTCTGTCTCTGTCTCCCTTTCTTAAACCAGTAAATACAAAATTTTAAAATTAACAAAATGAGAAATTAGGATCATAATTATGATTATATTATACATACAAATTTATATTCTATTCATTCAACGTATATTTTTAAAAAGAGTTTATTTACTTATTTTTAGAGAGGGGAAGGGAGGGAGAAACAGAGGGACAGAAGTATCAGTGTGTGTGGTTGCCTCTCACGTGGCCCCCACGGGGGACCTGGCCCACAACCCAGGCATGTGCCCTGAATGGGAATCGAACTGGTGACCCTTTGGTTCACAGCCTGTGCTCAATCCACTGAGCTACGCCAGTCAGGGCTTAATGTACCTTTTAATGAGCACAAAAATAGAGGAGTACAATGAACCCCCCTGTACCCATTACCCAGTTTCAACAATTATCACCTTGTGGCTCCTATTATTCCATCCACAGCCCCACCCTCATCTCATCTGCTCCCAGCAGTGAGGCCAAGCAATAGGACACTTTTTATGTCCCACTTTCAGTGGTTGGGGCTAACAGATTTCCATGGTTTTGGAACTGGCCTGTGTAAATTATTAGCAAAAGGGCCAGTTTGTGGCCCTGACCGTGTGGCTCAGTTAGCTGGGGGTCATCCCGCAAAGCAAAGAGTCGCCGGTTGGATTCCTGGGCAGGGCACATGCCTGGGTTGTGGGTTTGGTCCTTGGTTGGGGTGCGTAGGAGAGGCAGCAGACCTATGTGTCTCACATCGATGCTTCTCTCCCTGCCTTTCTCCCTCCCTCCTCCTTTCTCTAAAAATAAATAAATACAATAAAAAAAAGAAGGGGGGCAGCTTCCATCTGTGGGGTGTAAGGTGCTTCTCTAAAAGCCTGGAATTCCTTACAGACGATGACTGAGTTGTTGCGTCATTTGTGTTTCCTCAGTGGGACTTCACCCTGCTGAATGGAGCGCTGTTTGTCTTACTCGTGGTGCTCATTATCTACGGAATTCTCCTACTCTTCATACAGTCATATGTAAGTGGCATCTCGTTTGGAGATCTCTGAGAATCGTTGGCTGTCTGGGGGGAGCACTGGTGGTGTTAGAATGGACCCTCTCAGAAGCAGGCACCCCGAGGGCAAATGGGAGGACATTCACGGGGGAAACATCTGAGAGAAAGGGGTTGGGGGGGGGGTGGTGACGAAGGCCCGAAGAGCTGTCAGGCAGCTGCAATGGCAAGTGTGACCCCAAGTGAAGGACAGGGAAGGGGGTGGGTGGGAGCATTCTAGCCACGGGAGGTTCCGCAAGGCCACCGAGAAGTTTTGGAGCTCAAGACCACCACAGTGCGGTGGCCCCGTGTCTCCCAGGAAGGGGTCTGCTGCTCCCACCAATGACTGAGAAGTGCAGTGGGTCCCAGGAGCAAACTGTGGGTGCTGGGTCCATTACACTCCCTCCCAGGAGTGGGAGGGCTGTGAGGCCTGTCCTAGTGGCCACCCAGTGTGGTGTGGTGTGGTCGGGGGACTATGCACAGGGGTCTCCGGCATGAAGATGGAGCTCCTACCCTAGACTACAGCTGTCCTTCCCTAAGACGAGCTTGCGGTGAACCCCCCACAAGGTGGACCAGACTCCTGAATGTAGGTGCCGCTTGTTTGAAGTTATGGGAGTGGAGAGATGGGCTTGTTAGGATTTTCCCAGCAGCACCCTAGTGAGGTTCCTTATTTCCAATTCCAGCTTTTTTTCCCTTTAATTTACTCATTGACTTCTTACTAGATGTTGGACATAGGCCCATGTATTTTTCATATAGGCATCAAATTCAATTCTCAAAACATTCCTGAAAAGTACATATCTCATCTGCTTTATAAACAAGAAAACAGGTTCAAAGAAAGTAAATGATTCAGCCTAGTTCACCCTGGGAGTAGGTGGCACCAAGGCCAGGTCTGTGTGACTCTGGTGCCCACGCTCTGTCCACCACACGGCCCTGTGCGTGCACGACCCAGGCAGGGGCCCAGGGTCTGGCCCTGAGGTTGGCTGCCAGTGGCCCCTGGGTGGGGAGCCCCGAGGGCCAGTCCCACTGAGGACTGGCCTGAGGCCTGGGACCACTGGACTAATGCCCCAAGGCTGACTTGGCCCAATTGCTGAATCAAAAAGCTACATCGGCAACAAGTGGACTTAGTCAATGATGGTCACATGTGTAGCCAGCACTGATTTAGCTTTATGAATGAACAGATAGGCCTACAGCTTGTGGGGGAGGGGGCATCTGTGTTTTCGAGATGAACTCGAAGACATCACAAAGGTATAGGCCTCAGTGTTCCACTTATTCCTGATGGTGGCGCAGACATCGGTAGTAAGAACATAAATATGTATTAGGTGGGTTCCATAGGTCTTTACAATAAACGGGTGCGGTTAAGAAGCAATGTTTCCTACTAGATGGATGGACCCTAGTTCCCATTCTGAATTTCCTCTCACGAGTATCTACCATCCATAGTCTTGCCCATATGTATCAGTGGAAGACTTTGCCAGAACCTTGTCCGAACGATATGCTTGTTGGACTCTGGCAATTTTGAAGTCTTCAGATTCCAGTAATTAGGAGTTTTCTTACCATTAGCTCAGTCCCTAAAGACCATGCCTCACAGTGTCACTGACTCCCGACTCCTCTGTCACTGAGCCCCTTCCCTTGTTAGCAGAGTGCTCTGCCCGCCCCCTAGGACCAGCTTGCTTGTCCCGCAGAGGGAACGCCATCGTTTTCCTCAGACGTCACGCCTCACTCTCTTATCCTCTCCCTACACAGAGCCAAACCCTGTGGCATTTAGACCAGGCTCATATTCTGATTAGGGCTGTTTTCGTTGTAAAGAACAGACAGATACTGCTCAGACTAGCTCAAGGCAAAGATCCGAGGGAACCCCATGGAACTTCCAGAAGAGCCAGCATTCACGGGAGCGGAAGCCCCACCTTCCTCTCCTGGGCTGAACTGGTGGGCCACCCCTGCTCGTACAGTGATGGCTGCGGCACCAGCTATTAATACAACCGCCTCAGCTGCTTGGATCCCTCAGTCCTGAAAATGGATTATGACTGGCCTGCAGCATGTTTGATAACGGTCACATATTAGAGAATCCTGGTCACAAAGAGATTGGCCGCCGTTGGTGGGAATATCTCCCCCTCTCCTCAGCCAACTCTAGCAATGGCGCGTGAGGGTCACTGCGACCCCAGAAACCTGTTCCAAGAGCTGAGGGCTGGGCAGATCCTCTAGGAGGGATTTGTGGATGGGGCAAGGAGTGAACCACATCTAGTAAGTTCTGCCTGGCCCACCATGCCCGAGCACTTACTTGAAGAAGCTGATTTGGCCTATACAAGGCTGGTTTTCATTTGTTGAGTGACACCAAATGGATGCTATTAACTGATTTTGTTCAGACAAGATGAATTTGCTCACAGATTTGACTTTCTTAATATTGATCTAGTCTAACAGCAGCAAGTGCTTTTGTTATTTCAAATCCTGTTCTTAATATTCAAATGTGTCCTTTCTTTTGCAGTGGTTGCACCTACTGTACGCTGGACTCGGAACAGTGCTCTTCTCGCTTGTGAGTCCACCCCCCCTCTCTGACAGAGAGTGTGTGACAGGGCTGCCTGAGCCCGTGTGCTACGCGTGCAGTCAAGCTGAGTCAGTGATTCACTGGCAAGAGCTCCTGGAGACTTGTTTCTCCTCCTTCTCCTTCTTTTCTAAGGATGGTTTTTAAGAGCACTTTTAAGTTCACAGCAAAATCAAGAGGAAGGTACAGCGATTCCCACCCAGCCCTGCCCTACGCATGCACAGCCTCCCCCATTACCACCACCACCACCACTCACCAGAGGGGAGCCTCTGTTACACTGAGGAACTGCAGTGCCATGTCAGTGTCGCCCCAAGTCCACAGCTAGCGTTAGGGGTCATCTCAGTGTACGTGCTACAGGTTTGGATAAATGCAGAATAAATGACGTGCTCCATCATCATGGAATCGTGCAGAGGACTTCCACTGCCCTAAATATCCTCTGGGCACTGCCTATTCATTCCGCCCTGGCCCCAGCCACTGGCAACCACTGACATTTTTACTGCTCCCAAGTTTGGCCTTTTCCAGAATGTCACACAGTAGCAGTCACCGAATGTGCAGCCTTGTCAGGTTGGCTTCTGTCACTTAGTAGGGGCACTTAGGATTCCTGTGTGTCTGCTCCTGGCTGGACAGCTCTCCTCAGTCTGGATGTGCCACAGCGTATGTGTCCATGCACCTACAGAAGGACATCTTGGTTACTCCCAAGTTTTGCCAATTTTGCACAAAGCTGCTCTAAACATCCACATGTGGGTTTTTGTGTGAACATAAGTTTTCAACTTCTTTGGGTAAATACCAAGGAATGTGACTGCTGGATCACACAGTGAAAGTAAAAACTTCCCCCAAAGTTGCTGGAATCACATGGGCAGAGGGGAGGGAAAGTGGGGAGAAGCGACAGGAGTGGTCCGGGGGAGGCACCCCCACTGGCACACCCCTAGCCTGGGGTGTGACCCCCTCGACCACCACTCTGATCATGCATGTGACCTGCCCTTCTCGGAGGCTGTCAGTGTCCCTTGCAACTGGGCTATTCCCGTATTACACGACGCGATGTCTGCAATGAACTGGCGTGAGGCTACCCTATTCCCTCCCTTCCATTCCTCCCTTCCTCCTGCTTCTTACAAGCCCAGGTGGGAACCAGCACCCAGGGCCAGCCAAGACCTGAATCACAGGCTAGGTCTCATTGAAGGGGATGTTCTAAAGTAGGTTATTTCCCCAAATTTTCTACCTGAAGACAGATGTTCTGTCTGATGACTCTGCCCTACAGCACTAGCCTCTTGTCTAGAATCTGGAAAGTAGTGAGGAGCTGCTGACTTTCTCTCTTGCTGCCCGAGTCCGCTCACTTTGTGACAAACACAAGGGTGAGAGCACTCGCTGACTTTTTTCTTGAGTTTCAGGAGCTCATAATTTTACCTACTGCGGCTGAGCTACAATGGTTATTTTGGGGGTCACTTAACAACAAATCCCCTCTTCTCCTCATTCTGTTTTGGAACCATTGGCATCATCATTAAAACTCCAAGAATTCAGAAATATTGCTGTGTGTGAATCTAAACGTTGGGAACCACTTTGTTTCCCTTGTGTGTTCGGCGAGAATGTGTGGGGAAGTGGCAGACACGGCGTTTTGTAGTTCACCACCACTGTGTCGGACAGGCCCAGCTGGTCCACAGTGTTGACTAAATAAATGCACAAGGCCTCCGGACTCGCCCGGCAGAGGCCGGCTCCCAGATCTGGTCCCACCAGCTTCAGGACAAAGCCCTGGCGTTAACAGGGGACAAACTTGGGAGCATCGTGAATATTTGAGGCTGTAAGAGTAACACATATAGCCACAAAGGGGCTTTCCACAGTGTATGCATGGGCGCTAAAATAATTTTAAGACAGTTTCAGATGGAAATGGATTAAGATGGTGTAAGACAGTGATTGGATAGAAATGAATGATTTAAGTAGCTAATTTTTCTTTCTTTCCTTTAAGTACCTGGTGATGGATGTGCAGCTGATGGTGGGCGGGCATCATCACTACAGCCTGAACCCCGAAGAGTACGTGTTTGCTGCTCTGAACATCTACTTGGATATAATCAACCTTTTCCTCTTTATTTTGCAACTGATTGGACTGAGACAATAGTCTCTCAGCCAAGGCTGGCTCGTGTTGACAGAAGGGGAGGAGGGGCATCTGCCACATGTTGCCAGGCTCAGACATGCAGAGGTGGCCACTTCATAAGCGCTTTTATCCTAAAAAAACATTTTCAAGTACTTTTTTTTTCAAATGAAAGCAAGCATTCAGTAGATGGCAGCTGTAGCTGTTACATTTTAAGTTCTGTTGTCATGTTGCAAAACTTTCTGGGGACATTTCTGATGTTTATAAATTTAAAAGATGAGTATCACAATGACATACAAACATTCGTAAGATGCCTGGTACTTGGTTGAAGTTTCCCAGGAAGTATTTAAACCTGTAAGCACCATCTATTTGAATAAAATTAAATACAGAAACCTGTATTTACCTCATTCTCTTCTCCTGACTTGGACATTCTGTGGGGATATCCTGGCCCAGTCTGACTTGAAGGATAAGATAAACCAACGTGTCCAGCCTTTCTCCCCGATGCTAGAGTCAGACAGCAGGGAGCAACAGTGCCTGCCTGGCAGGGGTGGAGAGGAGTAACGAAGTTCACGTACACGGAAGGCTCAGGACACAGCACTCCCTGCTGTTGTCCCGTCTCACCTGGACTTCTGGGCTCAGCTCAGAGACCACCACCTCCTCTGACTGTCTGCGACACCTGGCCTCCTTTGAAGCCCCATAATATTAAAGAAATTTATTTCAATTTTAATTGTGATAAAATACACATATCAAAACTTACCATCTCAACCATTTTAGGTGTACAGTTCAGTGGCATTAAGTGTACTCACATTACTGGGAGACCAATCTCCAGAATTTTTTCACCTTGCAAAACGGAAACTCCATACTCATGAATCAACAAGAAGCCCCATTTATTTTGCATTGACTTATTTATTAACACATATCTGGTAACCTGTTTGTGTCAGAGGGAGACTGGACAGATCTGGACAGCATGGGTGAATTGTGCGGGGGGCACAATTAGATGGACTCTTCTGGTCTCTCTGGAATTACTCCCCACAGATCTTAACCTCTAGACTTCACTAAATTTACAGATCTCAAGTAAGGCATTTGAATTGAAGTATGAGCACCATGTGACTATAGTCACACACACCTGGCTGTTTGATTACCTGTCATTTCAGATTAGCCCTATCTCCACTACTTTGGTGATGTTTCTTACTATGTTTATAATCTCATTACTACCAGCAAAGTCCCAAAGATGGGAGTAACCTATGAAATGTGAATAAGCAGAAGAGAAAGGAATTTTAAAGCCATCCAGCCAAAAAAGTCCAGGAGGGCCCTCTAAAGCTTCTGGGTCTGGACAGCTTAACAAACATTACTGTGTGTACACCTGCCAGAGGCTTTGGTGCCAAAGTCATGGTGAATTAATTCCACAGAAGAAAGCAAATTCAGCCAGAAAACCTGAGGTTTTGCCTATTCTCCTGGCATCAAGAAATCTTCCTGCATTTAATAGGACATGCTGGCCAATTTCTTTTTTTTTTTAATATTTTATTTATTTTTTTTTTTTAGAGAGAGGGGAAGGGAGGGAGAGAGGGAAACATCCATGTGAGAGAGAAACATTGGTTTGCCTCTTGGGTATGTGCTTCTTCCAGGGACTGAACCTGCATCCCAGGAACGTGCCCTGACAGGGAATCGAACTGGTGACCTTCTGCTTTGCGGGACCATGTCCAACCGAGCCACACCAGTCAGGGCCGGCCAATTTCTTTCTCCACGTTAGGCATGTCTGTTGTCTCAGCAATGTTCCCCACCACACACAGTCCATTGTGTGTCTATTCTATGTGCCCTCACATAGTGGCGGTGACTCGATGAAAAAAGATTCCAATGTTTATGACAATCTCTTGATTTCTGCATTTGATAGAGCCTGAGCAAGACACACCTCTTAAGGCCAGTCAACCAGATGAGTCGACTCATTTGTCCTCAACATGGGAAGTTCATCTTTTGGGAAGAGAGTACACGATTTGAATACCTGTCAGGAGTGGTCCCAAGTCCATTTGTAAATCAACTCAAGATGTCCATAATGGGGCACTGGGAGCTTATAGGGAAAGAGAGGAAAATCCAGAGCAGAAGTCAGGTTACCCTTTCTATAGTGCCCACAAATTTGGGGCCTGTAATTTACTTCTAACTTCTGTTCTTTGAATTTTCCCATGACTACCCCCTCATTGAGCTCTGGGCATGGATGGATGAGCACACCTGTCTGCACACCAGCGGTCCTAGTGGAACCGGTCCTGTTGAAGGCTAGTGCGTGGTCAGCCACACTCCCTTCACGGCCAGTGTGCCGAGCTGCACTCGCAGGCTCCAAGGGTGTCCACAGCCAAATGATGTGGCATGTATTTGACATTACTGTCAAGAACAAATGTTGGCAGTTTCAGTATCTTTTGCTTAATGGAAGTCCTTGAAACAAATGAGCCAACTGCTTAAGGCATCTTCAGTGGCCCCAGGCTGTAGCACTACTAACAGTGTGCAGTGTACTGAGTAACAATGATCTGATTGGTGTTCTAAGGCAGGGGTCAGCAAACTAGTGTCTGCATGCTGAGTCTGGTTTGTCTTAAAAAAAAACTTTTAATTTTGAAATGTAGATTTATAGGGAGTTGCACAGATAACAGAAGTCCTGTGTACTCTTTCCCTGGCCTCCCCCGCCTGTCCCCTGCCATGGTTTTCTCTTACAAAATGTACACTATCAAAACCAGAGTTGTTGTTGGTGCCGTATGTATGTACAGTCATTTCATCACATGTAGATTCCTGTAGCCATCACTGCAACCATGACACCAACTATTCCATCACCAAGGATGCCCCCTGTGCTACCCCTTTACAGCCAACATACACCTCTCTGCACTCCAGCACCCCCACATGTGGTGACCACTGATTTGCTTCCATCTCTATTATTTTGTCACTTCAAAAATGGGACATAGATGGAATTGCACTGTGACACTGTGACATTTCAAGATTGACTTTTTTTCACTCGGCACAGTGCCCTTGAGATCCATCAAAGTTGTTGCAGATTGTGCCAATAGTTCATTCCCTTCACTGCCGAGTAGATTCCCTGGCATGGACATGCTGCAGTTAACCATTCACCTGCTGCAGGACATTTTGGTGGACTCCAGTTTTGGGCTGTTGCAAGTACAGCTGCTGTACATTGTGTACAGGTTTTTATGTGGACATGTTTTCACATCTCTGATAAATGTCCAGGAGTCACATCTCTGATAAATGTCCAGGAGTACAAATGCTGAGTCATGGTAAGTTCAAGGTTAATTTTTAAAGAAACTGCCTAGCTATTTTCCAGGGTGGCTGTACCATTTTACACCCTCACCAGCAATGTGTAAGTGGCCTCTGCATTTCCATCAGCATTTGGAGTTGATATTTATTTAAGCCATCCTAATAGATGTACAACATGTCTTGTGATTTCAATTTGCATTTCTTGATGGATAGTGATGTTGAACATCTTTTCTGTGCTTATTTCTTAACCATGTATCCTCTTATGTGAAATGTCTCATGCTTGCTGTCCATTTTATATTGAATTGTCTTTCTATTGTTGAGTTTTGAGTTCTTTACACATTCTAGGCACATAGTTGACAAGTATTTTCTCCCAGTCTATAGCTTGTCTTTCCATCTTCTTCGTAAGTATTTTTGCAAAGTTTAAAAAGTCCAATTTATCAATGCTTTCTTTAATGGATTATACTTTTGCTGAGAATTCTCTGCTTAACCTACCTAGGTCATAAAGATTTCTTTTCCTAAGTTTTGTATTTTACAGTTAAACCTGTGACCCATTTCCAGTTTTATATCAAGTGTGTGGGTTAGGGAGAGATTCATACATGTGCACCTGATACCAACTGCACCAGTGCCCTTTGCTGCAAAGACCATCCTCCACTGCATTGCTTTTGCACCTTTGTCAAAACCACTTGATGAGGTTCTCTATCAGTATCATAGTTGTGATTACTGTAGTCTTGGAATTGGGTAGAATGATTCCTCCCACTTCAACTTTATTCTTTAAAGTAGTTTTAGCCACTTTAGTTCCTTTGCCTTTCCATATAAATTTCAGATCTTTCTTTTCTATAGCTACAAGGGGTTGCCGAGACTTGGCAGAAACTGCTGCCAAGCAGATGAACCAGGCACCTGTGAACGGAGACCTCTTACTACACCAGTGGCTTTGTTTCAGGCAGTGAAGTCGGGCAGAAAATAGCCCCCAAAGGGGTGCTATTAATTTTTCATGTAAAATCAAGATACTGCTATGGTCAGGCTAGCTGCATTTTCAAATGCACCATTTGTTTGACCTGCAAGGCCTGCTGGGCCCATGACAATTCTCCGATTGTGGGTCACCCACTGTAAATTGAAGATGACACACACTGAGCCTCACAGGGCTGGCATTCAGTTTCAACAAGAGCCTAGGAACAAAATCACTTTCTCCAGAATGGGTGTACTTTGTGGCTGTGTCCGGCAGGTGGCGACGTTGTGCTGGGAAATGGCCTGAATACTGAGGTTGCCACTAAGTCTTTAACAAAGACAGTGATTTCCAGTAATGGAAAAACTAAAATGCGATGTACCAACAAATTTACTCAACATTCATGCAACTACACACAATTTTATATGCAACATGTGGACTTTAATATTATAGAATTTGGCCTTTATAGTCTAGTTTACACATAAACAAAGTTATTGCTCTTCACTAATCTGTCCTAATTTGTGAAGTGTTGCACCAACCTCCTCCCATAGCTTTTTACCATGTGAAGTGATGTAAACGGACAAGTCCTCCCTTAAGACAAGGTTAATTGTATCCAGATTCTAGGGAAAAACAAAGGATACTGGAAGTTGGGAAAAAAGGTGACTGCACTTTCTCCTCCTGGGGTTCTGTATTGTTTCTGCTGGACCGCCTGAGGGGGGACAAGGAGGCAGGCTAGGGGGTGATCTATGTCCACCTCTCTGCACAAGGCCGTCCCTGAACCTGAGAACCCACCCAACAATTATGAGACCGGTACTTGTGGGCACGTAACACATTTCTTATATTAGACATTTGGATTCGGGCGCCCAATGTTACACTGAATCACCCAGAGGGCCCAACTCACAAGGGAAGACCCCTACTGTGTCCAAAGACTTTTCCGCAGCTGAGGAATCTAAAATGCATGTTAGTCAGGAGCTACTGCCAGGTGACAAAATGTGTGGCAGATCACCATACCCCATCGCCACGGGGTGAGGAGGCCAGGGGATGGGGAGACTAGCCCGTGTGGGTCGTCCTTCTCCTGTAGCCCCTTGCTCCAGGGTCAACGTCTGCACACTGGCACGACTACCTCTCCCACGGCAGTGGAGACCAGTCAGCGTCCAGCTGCAGCCT